CCCCCTTCTTCTTTTGATGAAGTTTCTCCCTTAAAAAGCACCAAACCCACTTCTCTCTCCACGATAGAACTTAGATACCCTTGCCCCAATTCCAAACTCAACTTCTCTCTCCCTAACTCATACCACCAGTCTGCCGCCGAAAGTTCTTGCCGAAACTAAGTTTCGCCCGACGAGACCCAACTATTCTCCACAAGGTTTGTTTTAACAAATGCTTTTGCCAAACAACTCCTTCAGATCATAGAACATAGGGTCACCACGTCTCACGTGCATTATGAAAGTATCAAGTTAGTAATCGAGATCTCGAAGCTTCAATTCACCAAACTCAGCTGGATAGGCCAATGTTACTATTCTCTCCTCGTCAAATTTAGCAAATGAATTAGCCGGATTCAAGCTTGTCATAACGGGAAGCAAGTTGTTGCTCACAACATCAAAACAATTGTGAAGCTTGAAGTTGCAAATCAGTTACAACACAAAAGAGCTCAATACGTAAGTGATTTGAATATGTTACAGTAAAGGTCTACGCTTCGACTTATTGAATTCGTCCATCTTGGACGCTAAAATATCATGTTTATCACAAAATGAGGAGACTTCATCCATCAAAAATTCTCTTTCTCTCATCACTAGTAACCTTTTCCTTAATAAGGTCAAAATACCATGCTATTTGACAATGTATTGCTCTTTTCTCTGTAAAGATACACTCAGCTCATTCGACATCACCAACACTTTCAACATTAAGTAAAATGAGAAAACAAATTCAATAAATATTCTGCTTGCAATCTATCATTTGGATTAGAACCCTCACATTCACCTCAAGCACATGAATGATAGATAGATGAAAGTAAAACAATAAAGTTATCAAATGTTCTAAAATATGATCCCCAAGTAGATCTTTACGCTCAAAAGATGCTTCAACCACATTTAACATGTTAGCAAATATAGCAAAGAAATTATTCACATGCAAATGTCTTTTAGCAACAATTACAAACGGTAATTTTAATTGATGAGCAAAACAGTAAATTCAATATGATGATGGAATGTAGTGCAAAATCAAAGCTTTAAGACCATACATCTCTCCCTACATGTTACTAGCTCCATCATAGTCATGTCCACGGATTTTAGATGGACTTAATAAGTGATTCAAAAGCAAAAAATAAATTACTTCTTTCAGAGACGCCGATATATCTCTGATATAAGCATAACCAATAACTTGCGCATTAACTTCGTCTTTTTTGTCAACTATAGCAAAGGGCCATTTGTTCATGGTGCGAGATGTCTTAAGACTTGTCAACTAATATCTCAAAATAATATCCATCGAAGCCATCAATTATAACTTTCATTGTTTCTTGTGCACAAGCACTCACAATTTCCTTTTGAATTTTTGGCGACATCATCATATTATTTTTTTAGGATTTTTTATGTAACACTATCCACATCCAGAAGCCTTCTTTCGAGTCATTCCAAATTCCAAGAAAAAAAGCCTTTATTTTTCGAAGATGCACTTTCATCGTGACCTCAAAAAATTATCCAAATCTCAAGAGTAACCTTGCCACATTAATTGAGGCATTTAAACGAATTCAGCCATCACTTCTTTTATTCTTAGATTGCTTGTCAAAAGCAATTTGAATTGATTGGCATTGATTTTGACAAATCTAGCATTTTGTTGAAACACCTATTGTGGAAATTTTACTTCACCAAGATGTAGAGCAAACCTCTAGCCAAGCCTTAAAACTAGTGCTTTATGAAAGAATCACTCGCGCTTCCATAAACACAGTCATTGCTGAAAGTGTTGGTGAAGTTGAACGAACTGAGCACATCTTTATGGATTTCCACGCCATGGTAGTTCTTAACTGTAGTAAGAAAATGTTGCAATTGATGAGAGACAACATATTGGTATCTCCAATGGATGAAGGCTCCTTATTTTGTGATAAACATGATATTTGGGTGCTCAAGATGGACAAAATCTATATTCCTAAAAAGTCTACGCATAAACCTTCTAGTGTTATTTATTCACATCACTTACATGTTGAGCTCTTTTGTAGTATAATTAAGTTGCAACTTCGGGAGCTTAACAATCGTTTTGATGAATGAGTAGTAACTTGTTCTTTTTATTATGACGGTGTCCGGGCCAGCTTAAACGTACCTCGACTATTCCACAGGGTACCTACTACCTCCCACCGGCACAAGTAATAAGTAACTCTGCTCACCAAGGCTTAGGCGGATGGCATCAGTTTGCAACTTTAGAAGCTTAACAATTTTGTAAGTAGTAACTTGCTTCTTATAATGACAAGCTTGAAGCCGACTAAATTCATTTACTCCCTCCGTTTCAATTTAGATGGGGTAGTTTGACTCGACACGGAATTTAAGAAAAAAGAAGAAGACTTTTGAAACTTGTGGTCTTAAAAGCTTATGGGTAAAAGCTTTGTGGGGCCATGACATTTGTGTGGTTATAAAAACTTCTCATTAAGGGTAAAATGAGTAAAATGAAGAGTTTAAAGTTGAATTATTTCCAAATTTAGAAATGTATCATTTATTTTTGAACAGACTAAAAAAGAAAGTACCTCATCTAATTTGAAACAGGGGGAGTACTAATTTTGATAATGAAAGAATAATGACATTGATCAAGTATTATCCAAATGAGCTTGGTGATCTCAGTTACATTCTTTTATAAGGCACATGCCACGTGGTGGCCTCTGTCGCCTTCAAATCCTGGGCCTACCTCTCTGACAATATGCTTGATTACACAGTCCAGTAGCTTTGTAGCCTCCCCACAGTTTCTCCCCTAGCAATTTTACAGGCCACTTTGAAATTGTGGGCGTCTCATCCTACAATACGTTGTCTCTCTTCTAAAGCAATTAATCTCAGCTTTTTAACATCAAGTAATCTTGTATAAAGTATCCACCAATAGAAGGATAATGATAATTTAGTGGTTGATAGGATCTTCTTTTTGGGGTAAAGGTGGAGAATTGGACTCAGTATAGTTTAGGGATTTTTTTAGGGAAAAAGATTTGGGAAAACATTATGATTGATTGGAGCATCTAACAGTGGGTATAGATTTTTGGACTTCTTTTTAAAAGTGGGTACAGTTAGCAATCCCCAAAGAAAGGAACATATAACAATAGGTTCAGAGCAACAGAATTAAGGGTTATACTAGACTCAACAGCGAGTCAAAATAAGGGGGAAGGGGAGATCAAGTAAACATCAGAAGTTTCTTGAAATCGAAATATAGATAGTTCTATTAAATTTTGGGAGTGAAGGAGAGCAGAAGTATCATTTCTAACCTTCTCGACTAATCACAGACAGCAAAGACGATAAGCTACCGGTGGTACATATCTTTTAAGCACAGCAGTATATATAGAAGTAAAAGTTTCAAAATTATATGCTCTGTATACATAGCAATATTTTGGCTCATGGCTATCTTAGTCACTCATAAAGAAAGATGACCATAGATGGTTGACGGATGACCTTATCCAAGACGTCCTGGCTTAATAGTAGGAATAGGACTAGAAAGGAAAGGTCAACATGCAAGCTGGAGAAATGGAAGGTATACGTGGAAATGAATATGTTAGCACAATCTAGTTATTCCACTTCCTAAATTTCTTTTGGAGGTCACTTGTAGTAGGATAAGAGGATTAAGGTAAGGGGGGTAGGAAGCAACCTAGAGACGTTTCCAGATAACAATCGAAGTAAACTACTACTGGACACCCACGTACAGAATGAGGGAGAGGAGGCTATAGCTGGACGACAAACCTGGACGATAGGATGGAAGATGAGTCTCTGACTGTCAGCACTAGGAACTGAATAGTTGATTTTTGACACTCAGAATTTAAAGCAGCCTCTGGAAAACAAAATAGAAAGAAGCTTAGAGACTCTTCTTTAAATCAATAAATGGGAGGATGAGTTTGTTAATGACGGTATATGGAGGAGGCCTCCGTAGCATAAGTTACACAGCCCAGGGAAGGAAAGACCTTAAGAGGACTCTGGTAGCATCAGCCCATTGGGAAAAGTCAAACCAATATAATTGGACAGCCAATAAGCAATTCAAGGACACTCTAAAGTCTAAACCCTTAAAGGGATAGCCAGCACATATCATTCCACAGCAGTGTATACATAGTGATGGACTTTATGACAGATAATATAGTGAGAAAAAGCAATAAGAATGATGTGGTTCAATGCATAAGGTTAAAGACCCAGGCACATTTCGAAAACATCATAACCTATTGATTACCGGTCATCTCCAGGTCAATCCATACAAGAGGCAATTTGTACTCTGCTGAAACTGACTTCTGATCCCCTTTTTCATGTTCAAGTACTTCCATCTCTCCTGGGCTGCCATATTTGTCTTTCCCTTTACCTGCGTAGTTCATAAATTGTCATTTCTCGCAAACAGAAGCTATAGCTACGGTTTCAAAAGGAAGGCTAAGGATTAAGGATGAGCTGCATTATTATTATTTTTAGCTGAGAAATCCCCCAGGGCCAATGGCACACGGTTCAGAACTCGGTGAATAATGGGCCCTCCCCTCTATGGTTCTCCACTTAAAGATTAGCTGCATATTTATTTAGAGTTTAGATAAAATGATCTGTTTCTTTCTGACCTTTTCTGTTTACTCTACCGGTGGCCCCATTAGTAATATCAGTTCGGGTTTCATCCTGGCTATCTTCAACATCCAAATTTAGCAATGAAAAGGCATTTGAGATTTGATACATCTCTATCAAAGTCCTTGGTCATTAAGCTCCTGCGCAACTGACAGATGGATGATGTTAGTGATACATGAATAATTTTCATTCACTAAGAATGAAAAGATAGAAAACAAAGAGATTAGTAACTTCTCCGGGATCGAGTATTACAACATAAGAGAGAGGTTCAACTTTCAAGAATCACAGACCAATCTACGCCCAGTAGCAATCAGCACTAGAAGTTGCATCAGAGAGCGCACAAGATAATGGTAAAATGTAAAATAATTTTTCCTTATCATCATCTTCTCAAGAGTTAATTAAGGGGTAAAAAAAAGGTCAGATCTCTTAGATAGAAACACTTAAATGTTGCTTTTCCTTGAATGTTTGCGACCAGTTAAGGGCATCAAGTGGAATGAAAGAGTTTCTCATTGGAAGGAAGGAAGAATAGTCACCCCCTGTGCCAATTGCAAATATATCAACACCAACAAGCTCTATCGCAGAACTAGTTGGGTTCAGTTATACTACCTTCATTTCAGTTTATGTGAACATGTTCGACTATGCAGGAGTTTAAAGGGAAAAAAAGACTATAACTTGTGGTCTTAAACATGTCAAAACACTTTTGTGGCTATAAAATCATGTCATTAAGGATGCCTCCAGAGCAGACAACTGAAAGAGGCACGGTCACACGAGACAATCACTAGAAAAGAGGCGAGGGTCACTGGGCGGTCATCGAAAAGGAAGCGGAAGTGCAAGTATTGAAATGGTCACAGCAAAGAAGAGTTTTGCCACTAAAAAGGTCACTGAAAGAAGAAAGAAAAGAAGAAAGCTTTAACTGGGCAGGCGACAAAAGGTCAGCACTGATAGACGAAAGCCACTCAGGTTTCTACCAAGATCAGGACACTTTGATACCATGTGAAAAAGCAAACAAATGAGAGAACTTGCCTTGTCTTGAGTGAAAAAACAATGTACAAGAAGACCTCCTCATGTACTAACAATATGATAACTAGTTGTCTTCTACATCTAACAAGGCAGGTAATATCATACAATTAAATACAAATGATTCTAGAATAATCTGTACAATTTTCTTGAGTCACTCCAAGAACTTAGACATATTTAAATATATTATTTTATTGATTCTACTGACTTTCAACACTCTCAATCATCATAGAATCAGCATTTAGCCTGATATTGACATGCTAATACCATCTCTAAGATGTTCTCATCTGTCCTCTAAGTGTACTACTTGAACCTTCTGTAATTTGATCACTTTTTATTTGTCTTATTATTATGGCTGCATACTCATCTTCTTATACGTATTTTTATAACACTCATCTTGAAAATATGCAAGACTCAACACTTACTCTTACATAATATTGTTGGTCTGGCAACGGGTTCTCTAAAACTGGTCTTCCACTATAATGTTTACCTTCTTATAGATAACATTCCAATGACATTTCTCCATTTTAATTATCCTACTTCGATTTTGTGTGTTACATCTTCATCTCTCGTGTCATTTCCCTGGAAGACAGACTTTATACATTATAATTTGTTATATGTAGTCTGAACTCATTTCAACTTCATTCTTCTTGTAACAACTGCTACTTACTATGCATATATCTAAATTCACCCATTGCAAAAACTTACAACTAAAAAATGAAAAACAAAATAGAATAAACAACTCCAACAACCCCTTAACACAAACTTAGCAATTTTCCTTTAGACGAAGAAATCGGGTACATATGGTATAAACAACCTCTCTCTTAACATAGAATACTCCTTATTACGTTGCTTTTTAGATCTTCCCCTCCTTCTATGTACACGAAGGTGTTATTCTAGTTTGTTCGAATTTACGCACTCCCGTAGTCACATTTTTGTTTAGGGGTGAATCCACATAGTGTGGTGGGTACTCGAGCACCCATTGACCCTGACTCAAACTACATTTATTTAGAAAAATGTTAAAAGTGATATATAACGGGTCAGCTAGCACTCACAATCCAAAAAGACTGATGGGTGCTTTGGTTTTGAGATGGGATATAAAGGTCCTACATTGGAGAATATTACGGTTCGATTCTCCCTCACAGCATTCAGAGGCGGATCTAGGATTTCATGAACATGGGTGCACCACTACGTCTAGTGAGAACAAATAAATGTCCTGCCAGGTGCAACTATATCATAGTATATGAGTTAATACTGAAACTTCTAGAATAAAGGACCCTTTTTAGAAACAAAACCAAAGAGAGAAGTCACTTAAAACAAACAAGTGTGAGTCTGAGAGCAAAATCTTCTTGAGAACAAGGGTTCTAGAGCATGAGAGAGAGACACAACCAAAATTGGGGCTTTGGTACAAAATGGGATTAGGGAGAATAAGAAGTATCGGGAATGAGTTTAGGAAGGACTGATAGTGGGGAATGGGGCTTGGGTTCGAAACTAAAGGAAGGAGATAAAGAAAGGGAAAAAAAAAGTATTAAGTGAGAATAGATCTCTATTCCTCTGGATAAATAACCTAGCATCTTATCAAGTGCACCATTTAGCCATTTTGGAGCATGGGGGCCAATTGCTAAAATTAGATCTATTCTAGGAAATATGTACATAATATATCTAATTTGGTGGAGGGGCCATGGTTCACGTGCACCATAATCTAGGCTATGAATCCGCCCCTGACAGCATTTGTTTACAGCTTGTTTGGATGGTTGTTATGTATCATTTCATAATGTATTGTATAGTATGTTGTATTGTACTGTATCGTTTTGATGTATACAATGTTTGTATATATAGTATCGTTTGCCGTCGTTTCATGGTGTCATGCACCAACAATATGAAGAATAAACTTGCAATATTATAAATAAAAGTAAGATACGAGGTAATATTATTATAAAAAGGTATGGTAAATGATAAAATAGAATTATTTAATAATAAAAGAGGGTAAGAAAAGAGAAAAAATAAGAAAACGACGTGACCACACCAAATCGGTCGTTCCATAAAGTGGCATTTTTCGTCGTTACGTAACAAGGGATTTAAACTATATGATACAATAAAATTTAAGTAACAATCAAAACAAATATTGTATTTAAAGTAGCAATACGATACAATACAATAGGTAACAACCATCCAAACAAGCTGTTAAAGTTTAAACATAGCTAATTATTTATCTAATGTTTAAGTTTAACTTGCTTACTTTGTTTCTCTTCGATGCTGATTCTTCTTCCTATGTGTTACTGTTTAGTTTCTTTTATTTTTTTCTACTTTTTCTCATTAGTCTAATTCATTGTGGCAAAAACAGGAAAGAAGAAGAATTATTTGCACTAGCTTCCAAATCTTTAGCCTTGTTTTCAGAATGCAAAATATTTCTCTTTTTCAGACTACTATTGTCTGTTGATATAATATTCCTTTTTTAGACTACTAATATTGAGGTTTTCAGTTGAGAAACAGAAAGAGAAGTAAAGTCCTCGATTGACACAGCAGAGGTAATACGGTCTTGCACTCGAGACTGGAGAATTGTTGTAAATACTTGGTTTCAGTATGCAAATTTTAGTGAGGATTCATACAAATAAAGGAAGAATAAGGCAGAGCTCACCGGTCGGGTATAGCAGTAGAGCAAAGGCAGAGCTTCTTCGTCGGAAGAAGCTTGAATACTTGAGCACTATGACCCAAGGAAGAAGACTCAAGATCTCCGTCGCACCAATTATTCTCGTTTCAATTTGATTGCGTGTTGGGCCTCTGTATCATGCTTTTACTTGTGGGTTTAAGTGGGGGCAATTGCACAAATAGCCGTACATAGGCCTCATTTATTTTTATTAAGATTAAAACGTTTGAATGTGAATGCACATCTGAATATTCAGAGGTGAATACTGAATAATTAAGACTTATTGGTTTCTTTACATCTGAAATGTGTAAATATTGTCTTTATTTAAAAATTAATAAGTATAAATTCAAATCAAATAGTAAATACTATATTAAGAAAATATTTTTTCAAAATTATATGGTAGTTGGTGGTGATGATGGCTAACAGTGGCGGTTATGGGTGCCGACTGGGTAGTAGATGGTGGGGTGGGCGTTCGGTACTTCGGTTCGGTATTTAATAACTATGGTTCGGTACTTCGGTATTCGGTATATCAATTGTGCGTACCAAATACCATACCAAAGTAGTTCGGTACGGTTCGGTATTTTCTTATTTGGTTCGGTACGGTTTCGGTATCATACCAAAGTCTTTCAAATCTCCCAAGAATCAAGATTATGCCTAACGTGAAACGTCTCTCCTTGAGCTAAATCTTACTTCGATCAAGCTGTTCAAGCTTCTAAAATGTAGTAACAGCATTGTGTTGGGATATGATGCAATAATAAAAGAGGAATATGTAACTACAATTAATTAACTACATCAATGTAGTTGGAAGTCTTCGAAAAAGATAAGAAACTGGAAAGTTGTACAATAACAAATTAACAACACTGACGTTTTGTAGTATTTGGCTCTTTTGCTTTGAGACCTCATTTCATAGACCACTTTTGCTTTGAAACCTTACTGTACAGTTCAAGAGCTGCTTTGAGACCTCATTTTTTCAGTTTCTGATTTTCGGTATCCTCTCAAGAAAAGCAGTTTCAGTGTTGATTCTGTTGAACCATAAAGAGCAACTAACAGTCCAACCAAATGATTGGTTCGGTACACTGAGATAGTGCTGTTACTACATTAGAAAAGCAGCTCTTGAGAAGCTTGAACAGTGTTGTTGCTACATTAGAAAAGCTTGAACAAACTTAATACCACATTACCAAACACATAAAATAGCAAACTACAGCAGATCAACCAAACATGATACACTTGCCAAACAACAAACATAATTGAAAATATTCAAGACGTCTAGTCCATTAGAGAGAAAGACAGAAAGTCGCCTTATATTACTTCTTACTAAGGAAACCACTATCAAAATTTAAACACCTCAACTGCTGCTTACAACTTACAAGGGCGGTAAAATCACTATTAAAATTTCAAGAAAAAATAAAGACGTTAAAGAATGAAGAAGGCGAGAAGCTGTAAACCTGTTGAAGATTGAACAATGAAGGTTAGTCGCCGATGAGAGAACTGAGAAGTCGCCGTCGCCGAGGAGAGAAGTCGTCGTCGCCGAGGTCTCTGTCGACAATCGGCGGTCGAAGGCTCGAACTAGAACTCACAGGTCACAGCGGGTCAGCGGCAGAGCTTTAGAGAATTGAGAGAGGTGATAAATTGAAAAGGTATGTTAATTCCTAATTTTCTATCGTTAGTCTAAGTGGGGTTGGACTTGGGCCTAAGGGTTTGGGCTCAGCAGTATTATCTTTGTGTTGGGCTGTCCTAGACTATTTGGAAATTGGGATAAACTATTAAGCCTAATACTTCGGCATTTCGGTATACCAAAATATCGAAACCTCAATACCGAAGACCGTACCGAAATACCGAATAACAGAAATATTTATACCGAAGTAGTACCGAATTAACCGAAGTACCGAATTAATTCGGTCCGGTTCAGAATTCGATTTTTCGGATTTTATGTCCACCCCATGGTGGTGTGTTGGTTGACAGTGATGATTATGGGTAGTAGATGGTGGACGACAGTAGTAGTTACGGTGGTGTTTTATGGTGATTGATTACAGCGATGGCTATATATAGTGGTGGTTGATAGCGGTGATCGGTGATTACTATGGTAATGATGGTTGGTGGCGACGATTGTAAATGATGGTTAGTGGTAGTGACAATTGACATCCATGCTCGGCATCAATGGTGGTTGTGCCGAGAATGGTGGTACTAGATAGTGGGTAGTGGGTGGTGGTAGTTTATATAATGGTAGGGGACAACGATCGGTGATGATGATTAGTGGTGAAAGTGTAGGAGTAATAGTTAACTATAATTGTTTTATAAAAATTCTTGAACGTATAACATCTTTATGATATTAAGACCTTATTTATTTTTATTAAGATTAATACATTTGAATCCGAATATCAATATGTGTATTGAGATTAAAACGCCTGAATCTGAATACACATCTGAATGTTAAGATGTTGTATTAAGATCTGAATACTAAATAATTAAGATTGTTTGTTTTCTCTACATTTGAATGTGTAAAACTTATTTTTATTTAAAAATTAATAAGTATAAATTTAAATCAAATAGTACTAATTAATTTAAAACTTTATTAATAAAATAGTTTTTAGAATTATATAGTGGTTGGTGGTGACGATAGCTAATAGTGGTTGTTGTAGGTGCCGACTAGGTAGTGGATGGTGGTAATGTTGGTTGATAGTGATGACTGTATAGTAGATAGTGGATAACAATAGTAATTAACGGTGGTGGTTGATGGTTGTGATGACCGATAACAGTGATGGACGATATATAACGGTGATTGTTATGGTAATGGTGGTTGATAATGATGGTTGTAAATGATGGCTAGTGATGATGACAACTAACATTCGTGTTTATTAGTAGTGGTGGTTGTGACTAAGGATGGTGGGTAGTGAACAATAGTAGTCTATAATGGTNTAGTGATTGATGGTGACGATGGCTAATAGCGGTTGTTGTAGGTGCCGACTAGGTAGTGGATGGTGGTAATGTTGGTTGATAGTGATGACAGTATAGTAGATAGTGGATAACAATAGTAATTAACGGTGGTGGTTGATGGTTGTGATGACCGATAACAGTGATGGGCGATATATAACGGTGATTGTTGTGGTAATGGTGGTTGATAATGATGGTTGTAAATGATGGCTAGTGATGGTGACAACTAACATTCGTGTTTATTAGTAGTGGTGGTTGTGGCTAAGGATGGTGGGTAGTGAACAATAGTAGTCTATAATGGTGGGGGGACAACGATAACAGTGGTGATAATGATTAGTGGTAAAAGTGTAAGAGTAATAGTCAGATATCATTTTTACATAAATTTTTGAAGGTATAACATCTTAATGATATTAAGACTATACTATAGATCTTAATCATTAAGATGTATTCAGACCCATTAAATAGTTGTAACATTGAGCAAACAAATAAGCTTAATGGTTAAGATCTTAGTGATTAAAATTCAGATATAAAAAACAAACACACTTAATGACTGAGATCTAAATGATTAAAATTCAGACCACCATTAAGTGCAAACAAATGAGGCCTAAGACTTTGTTATAGATCTTAATCGTTAAGATCTATTCAGGGTCATTAAGTGATTGTAAAATTAAAAAAATAAATAGTCTTAATGGTTAAGATCTGAATGATTAAGATTCATACCTTCATTAAGTGCAAGCAAATGAAGCATTAAACCCTATTTTAAAAATAACTTAAATTCATATTGTTTTTAAAGTTTAACATGAGACTCATTAGAATTGATCATCTAAAGTTTCTCGTGTGCCTCGAGTTTTATACATACGGGTCTCAAGTTTGAGAACTAATTAACAAGTCTAATTTCATACCCAAATATTTGTAATTGTCATATTGCATATGTTGTTTGAACTTCTAGTATTTGGGTCTGCATTTGAAGTTAGACTTTGCAACCCCCAACTTTAAACACGTGTGTCTTGAATTTGAAAATTTTTAGCCCAACATTTTTGAAGTTGAGAAGTGTCAAATTTAAATTCACACCCCAAATACTTGAAGTTGGCAAACATCCAAACAGAAAAAAGATTTTCACACACACACACACACACAAAAAAAAAATGATCAGAAAAAGGAGCAACAGAAATTTGAGCTAAGTTTTAGTTCTCCGATCAAAAAATGATAACGAAAGAAGCAAACGAACGCAAAAATGAACAGAAAACGACGTTCGAAAAGAAGATCTGAAAGCATCCAAAAAATTTGTTGTCATTAACTAAGTCCATAGATTTGTGTATATATATATACACACACTAATTTTAAGGTAAGTGCGATGTACGTATATGCTACATCTAGCAATATAAAATTGTATACAATTAGACTAAATTATGTATAATAGCAATCAAATAGATATACAACATTCAATTTAAATGAAAAAATGTTATTACATTGATGCAATTGCTAAATTTAGAATAATTGTGCATCTTCTAAACCTGCAAAGACGAACAAAATAGTTAAGTTAGTCAAATATTTGTAGTTATAGATATTTTATTGTATGATATAATAAGATTTTATGTTGTTGTATTGTATCTAATAACTCTTTATATACGATGTTGAGGATATATGTTTGTTTTTGTCGCTTCACTTATTCTGTCATAACAAAAACCTATGTTGTTGACGTATCGTTCAACTTTATTCTTTTTTAATTAATTTGTAAAGTAAGGTCAGATATGAAATCCTCTCTGGTCCAAAACATGAAAATAAAGCCACAATAAAGGTGTGCATGGGAAGCAAAAAAAAATCTAATACAGTATATCATCCTGCTATGACAGTACCAGAATTAATTTTATTGTGCAACTCAATTAACATCAAAGTATTCAAAAATGAAGAAAACGAACTCGATTTAAATACTTCTGCAGCTTATAAAAGTAACAATCGATTCAACTTTTGAACTGATATTTCTAACACAAAGAAAATTCAATAATTATCCCTCAAACTTTCTCTATAACAGCCAACAGGTGAACACATAATAGAGCAGGAGAGTACACGACACAAATACAACTTCTTCAAATCCCATATCCCAACACCTAACCTTATGAAAAAATGGAAAAATTCACAAGTAGAGCAAGGTCTAGTTTAATTTGGATTACTTCAACTGATATAATCAGTTTTTTCCTCTTTAAATTAGTTTCATTGTATGCTTATTCTACAAAATAATCAGTCTTCATAATAACAAAGCTTTGTTCCTTCAGATTAGTTGATTTAAGAATTATCAAATACTCCTAATACTTTATTTAAAGAACAAAAAATAATTTCGATAATCTAAACCAAACAGGATATATTTTTCTAGAAAAGCGTCAACTTGATTTTCTTGTTTGAAAAAGTTAAACAAATCACATCATGGGGATTGATCAAGAATATGTTGTACGAACTGTAAGTGCTAATCAAGACACAATTACACAAAGGCATCATATGATCTGTATCAATCTCATAAATCTTCTAAATAACTTCTTCTTAAACTATAAGTGCATATGACAAGATGCCAGTAAATTCAAGCATAACCGAGTTTATAAACTAAAGCATCAAATATCACAATATGTGTCATGATCCAAATTTCCCTCCGTAAGATGTCGTGACGGCACCTACTCTCTAAGACTAGGTAAGCCTAACACTTATTGAATTTAAGATAAAATTTAACCAGAACAACTACGAAGCATGAAACTGAAATTTATATAGTAAAACCAATGATCCTAAGTGCAATACAATACCCAAAAATCGGTAATACAAGTCATAAGCTCTACTGAGTTTGCTAGAAATCCCTAAATACAACTGTTCAAAATAGAATTAAACAGTACAAGTACAATATCAGAAGGTGACTCCGAGGCCTGCGAACGCGACGGCAGGTCTACCTTGAGTCTCCACGGTAATGCTCGACCAACTAGCTAATAATCAACAATTTTTGAGGCACCTGGATCTGCACACAAAAAATATGCAGAAGCGTAGTATGAGTACACCACGACGGTACCCAGTACGTATCAGGACTAACCTCGGTGGAGTAGTGACGAGGAACAATCAAGGCACCCGCTGGACTAAATAACCTGAATAAGTATAAATATAGAACTAGCAGGGAACAATATCAATATAAAGCTAAGCATGATGGCAATAGTAACATAATGTATGTAATAGGGACTAAAAGCAACAGTTAGCAACGAGACACAATAGAATAAAATCATCGATGATAGAATAAAATCGCACGATATAATAAGAAAGAAGTGACATTGTTCCTAAACTTCATAGCCTCTGAGAGATAAGTACAGACGTCTCCGTACCGATCCTTCAGACTCTACTAAGCTTGCCGGTGACTCGTGAGACCTATGTAACCTAGCGCTCTGATACCAACTGTCACGACCCGAAATTCCCACCTTCGGACCGTGATGGCACCTAACATTTCACTTGCTAGGAAAGCCAATGTTAGAATAATATTAACTAATTTTTAAAGAATTTTTAAATTATTAATAATCCAAGAACAAATGTGGAAGCAAGTTTGAAATATAGTGAATAATCCATAAAAATAACGGGATTTAAATACCATCCCAGAATTGATGTCACAAGTGCACGAGCTTCTAGAATAAATACAAATAAGGTCTGAATAAAATAAAACTGTCTGGAAAT